TATTTTTATGCAAGTATATACAACGAGGAACACACAACACCCGAGGATTAATCGACCTCATCAATTTCTTCTTATCACACGTGCACCATACATTCTTATTCAAGTACAGTGTAGGCAGTGAAGTGCAATGAAGTTAATCTAAATGTAACACTGCCTCTTTGAGGACATTTATTTTGTTTCCGTCGCATCTGAAGAAATGTGGAGACAGTCAACATACAATGACAAGTTTGTAACTTCCACTCACAGTAGGAACGACCCCGATTAAAGTTTTCACAGCAATATTTGTACGGATTTCACGAGAGCTATATTCAGAGAAGAAATTAAAGGATGACAATGCCAGATGCTAAAACCTTTATCAAAGTACTTGTGAGATGAGAGATGAGATTCAACTTTATTGTCATCACACATATACAAGTATAGCGTAACGAAATGAGGTTTGGCATCTCACCAGAAGTGAAATAAGCAGAAAGTGCAAGAATCTGTGCTATGTACAAGTAGTTACAAAATTTACATATGTAGAAAAAAACAAGAATTATTCAGTATATGTGGATGGGTGGATTCATGGGATGCTATAAATATAAATAAATGTTATAAATATAAATATAAGTATATCTTATGAATAACAATTTCTAGTTTTATAAATTAAGCTAATTTCCTGTAAGGAGCAATCACTTTCTAGAGTTGTGACATCACTATGAGGTTGCCAGGCAACCAGCAGAGACTCCAGGAAGTGAAGATAGAGCCAGGCTAACTGATTTCCCCTGTTTTCAGTCTTTGTGCTTAGTTAGGAATGTTTTGTACAGACTTGCCAGCGGTATCGCTTTTCTTATCTAACTCTTGGCCAAAGAGCAAATAAGCATATTTCCCAAAAAACAGGGACATTATGGGGTTCAAACACCAATTTATACATTAATTCAACCCCTGATAGGAACACAAGTACGGCCCCAGAATTCCTTGAAAAGGTCGTAGTTTTTTGGAAACGTTCCTCCTGTGAAATGGCTTTTATAAATACACAAACAGTAAATCACTGACATGCAACTGATGTTCTCACGTTTTTCTATAGGCTGCTAGACACTTGAGCTTTTCGTTTACACAGCCTGAAATCCTAAAATCTGTTCCCCGCTTGTATTCCCTCTGAGATTCTGACCTGTCTCAGGTCACATGTGCGGTCTTTGCAGTAAGTTAAAGTCTTAACTGTAGCTTTGCTGTTTCTTTCAATACTCTCCACTGAGTAAAATGATTTAACCACAGGATGCTATCGGCTTTCACTTCAGGCGAGGCACAGTAGGACAGAAATACTCTACCACTACCAACATATATCAAACACACCCACACACACACGCATGATGTACTCATGTAACCAACAAACACATGACTATTCCAGAGCTACGCAATACAAAGATGTGTTCCTGTTTGCTTGAATCTGTCAATACAATCTTTTAATCAAACAGTCTTCCTCTCCCTCTCTCTCCCCCACACATTCTCACAATACAAACATATTGACATGGATTTCAGGGAAGGATAAGAGAGAAAGAAGAAGTACAAACTTTAGACACAGTGGCAGGTGATGAAAGTCGGACAAGCGTGTACAATCAATTAGGTGTGGGCTGTGCCGAACATTGGATCCAGCCTGTTTCTGTGAGGCTGCATTAATGACGTGACCTACGCTACATGTCCCCATATTTCTGTGTGCACCTGTATGTATGTACATCGATATGTGCATGTTCCAATGGGGGTTCATTCAAAGGCATGTTTTCTCAGAGGAGAGCCTCTGCAAGCACAGATTGAAATCCTGCATCACGGGCAGAAACATAGAGGGTCACAATGGTTAATGCAATGTGGGACTGAGAGTTGTAGGATGGTAAGGGAAGAATGCAAATGTGTCATTTCACAACTTCTTTGAGGTGTATTGGATCAAAGGACTGCAAACATATATATGTAGGTTCAGTGCTTTCTCGCTTCCAGGAAGTCTTTATATGAGACTTGTCTGAATAAAACACTAGCTGGAAGAGTAGGCTGCTGTGTGTCCTGATAGTATATGGAGGGTACACTTTCCCAGATTAGCATAGAAATTGGCACAAAAATCAGTATGGGTCACAAGACACAAAAAAAAACCCCTTTTTTTAATAAATGTGATTCCCAAGAGCAAAATCCGACAAGAACAGTGGGGTCTGAAGTGATCTCCATTTTTCATCAGTGCTCCATTCAAGCTGACCATAAAAAGCTCACAGTGGAAGTCTGCAGGCTGTGCCAGGATCCTGCCTGCCTCGCAACACAGCACATAGAGGAGACACAGTGATGTTTCCGTATGGAGCGTGGCCATGGAGCTGCAAGATAATCAACCCCATGGCTGCCTGTGCAAGCTTGTGACTCCCTTCCGTTGCCAAAAAAAGCAGTAAGTCAGCACTTATCAGTCAGCGCCATCATCATGGGATAGATGTCAAATCAAGTTTATCTCTAATAGTCAAAATCACAAGTTTGCCCAAGAGAGCTGCCCAATCACCTCTTGCCTTCACTCCCTACATTGAAAGATATATTTAAAAATAAGACAACTTAAATAACCCCGCCGCCCCCTATTTGGACAGACAGGGCCAACATGCAAAGCATAAATTTCAATAAATAGAAAAAGAAATAAAATATCAGCAGTTATACTCGATCTGGATAGTTCTGTCTGATTCTCAGCTTATTGTCAAATGACTTCAAGTGTACAAATCAAACTGATTATCCGGAGCTACAGTCATATGAAAGGCAGTACAAAGATATTAAGTCTGTTTGGTGTCATGTGTCAGAGGTCTGGATCGGTGTTGGCTGATAACAGCTGAGTATCAGCAGCGATTAAACAGGGAAGGACACAAAAGTGGCACAATGTGTTGGACATTTAACTTGAACTAAAAAGTGCCATTCTTTTCCCCCTAAAAGGCTTCATGACATTTTTTTCTACAAGCTTTTTTCTTATTTCTCCGCTATTATTCTAGCTTCCCAGTTTACCCCCATTTATCTGAGGATACTTAATGGCTAGATGCGGATTACTTTTTCTAAACAGGGTGAAAGCATGGCCAATACATCCAGGGCTTGAACTGAAATAGTTTATAGGCTGAGTGTGAATGCATGTTACATGTACACTTGTTTTTCTCATACTTAAAAAAGGAAGTCTGTTTCTATGTCTTTATTCTGCATGCTCATGTTGGGATGGCAACAAAATTGTGATTTATTTTTCAGCTAGTTGTCAGGCAGCATGTGTTAAATGATTCATGTGTTTGTTTAAATGATAGTTTAAAAAACGAAGCTGTATAACTTTAGCTGTTCTTTAAATGTAGACTTTAGTGTCGGTTTATGGTGTAGTACCAAGGTTTACGGAGATACACGTTCATTATCTGTGAAATAAAGCAGCACTCAGCATACATCCGTACATCTAGCATACTTCACTGATCAAGTTTCTGAGAAAGGCAGCTGGCACCGTGAAATCAACAAACCACATTTTATCTGGATAGTTCTGTGTGATGCTCAGCTAAGAGTCAACTGACTACAAGCTATAACGTGTAAAAATGGACTGATTGTCCGATACCAAGATGAGCAGTGTGATGATATTAGCTCTGGGTGCAGTCATGGGTCAGAGGTAAAGTTAAGGTTACATAATATTTGGAGATACACTCGGGAAGAGACTTACTCATTTACATAAGCTTTTTGGTCACCTTATAAGAAATTTGTTTCTTTAATTCAACATGCAGAGCAGGAAGCACGAGTGAACACATGACGTGGCACATTCTGGTTTACGTTTTCTCTGAAGCAAAACTCATTTTGTTTTCAGACATTTAATGATACATCTACCTCTACCTACCCAAAAAAACTGTTGTTATTTGCTGAAGTTAAATGAGATAAATAATGTCTGACATGTAATATAAACCTCCATCACTAATGAGTAAGTTTAGATAAGCGTATGGAAGCACAGACTATGAACTCACAGAAACAGTAAGCCTGGCTCCATCTGAAATTCAGAAAAAAAACACACCTACCTGCTCTTCTAACAGCTCAAAAAAAGGAATATTGTGACTTGTATCAGTCCAAAAATTGTAAAACATATGACATGAATTTACATGAGGTGACCACTACCCTGGCAACTGGTAGATCTATGTGATCTGAAAAGAGAAAAATGTGTTTGTTTGAATCACTCCAGAAAAATAGCCACATCACCTCGGTTGTTGTTTTGTATCGTTGCAAGAGCTGTAAATGTTATGTGTGTTAGCAACGCAGCATAGAGCCCTCATACACCAGCATACGTGACTCACGCAGCCACATTCTTTCACACAGTCTCTCTTCATGCAGGGCAAAATACTGAAGATTAAGACAGAGAGAGAGAGAGGGAAAGATGAGGGCGTTCCCACAAACAAGCTTAGATTAATGCACTGGGATACAGAACCCCCCCCCCAACACGAGTGGTGAGGAGAGGCAGATTTTTTTGCTTATAAGTAAAATAAATAAATACTTTTGAAATGATAAAAAAAGTGTTTTTTTTCCTTAACCCGTTGCTGTTGCTGTAAAACTCCTAAAAATGAACAAAACATTCCAACCGCCCGGCCCATCAGAACCGAACCAAAAACCATGACCAAAAAACAGAGCTACGTATTGAACTATGGGATGACTGTATTGTTGCATCCCTAATCTAAACATATACTGGTATTTGAGGTATCCATGTTGTCTATGTGGATGCTTTATTGCCACCATATTTAGTGCTCACCAAAAGCAGGTGTAGATTGTTTGTACCACTATAAAACTACAGTACATTATCGCCATTTGTGTTGAGCTGTAATGACCACCTACAAGCTTTTAGGGTTTGAGGGCAACAGATGTTGGCACCAGCTGATAATTGATGCTCTGTGTAAGACAGATGGTTCTGTATTTACTACTCAGTGGAATGGAAATAAATGAGCAAACACTACTTGATATACAATATATGTTACGACCAGTGAATTTAGGACCCAGACGCAGGACACATAAACAGATTGATTGGTAATGAGGTTTATTGTGGCAAATGGAGATGAAGATGGGTTTCAAGATTCCGGAGGTTAGCAGAGTGAAAGGGGACGAAGGCTGACCAGACCAGAGTAGGGGTGTGAGTGTGGCTGAGCAGTTTTTAAGTCCAGAGAGCAGGTTGAGGCAGATGGCTGAGCAGGAAGGCAGGTGGGTGAATGGTGATCCTGAAGCAAAGGAAAAACAGGGTGAGACTCAAAAAATCAAAACAAGCACAAAAAGATTAATTTCAAAGGTTTTTTTCAAAATCTTAATTTAGCCGGAGCCGTAGTCTACCACAATAGTTGAAACAACGATCTGGCGATGAGTGGACGGAGAGCCGGGGTATATATACTGCTGAGTTGATGAGGAGATGGAGAGCTGGTGTGCAGGTGAGAGCAGGTGAAAGGAATGAACCTCAATCAGGAGGGAGCCAGAGTGAGAGAGCCATGACAGTATATGTTGTTGTAGGATTATAGAATATAAATCCATAACGATTGCATACCTTTGATCAAAGCAAAAACAATTAGGGTTTTATCAGCTACACAGCTGGATATGGATTATGTTTCACCTACTGACACATCTGGATGGATGGATGCCATACCACAGCAGACCTTTAAAATAAGCAGCAATTCAAGTATAAAACATTTAATTCCCAAATCTCCAGGGAGCTCCAACGCAAACAAAACTTTTAGTTATGAGATGAGTGTGTATCCCCACACAGTTAATTGCATCATCATGTTGTCTCGCTGGATTCAAGCAGTAATGTGTCATCTTTATGCATGACAATGAAAAGCAAAGACATCATTTATCTTCCCACACATTATCCCACAACATACAGGCTTTCTTGGCCCTCTGAGAATGTACAACCCAACACGAGAGTAAAGGAACACTTTGGTGTTTGGTGTGAGCGCTACTCGACGTTCTCACTCCTCATTTTTGATTGATGGTGACAGGCTCGCAATCGTGTCTGTACAAGAACGGATATGACAGTGTACTCTATGTGCTTTCATAGTATGTCTGTAGTTGATGGGAGTAGATTAGAGACTTGAAACAGACAGCATATTGAGATTAAATGAGGTGAGAGGGGAAAAAAACCTGTTGGCTAATGACAGAAGACTAAAAAAAAAAAACATGAGCAGCACCAGCTCAACTATGCTAATTGCTTCTCTGATTAAAAGAAAAGACAAAACACTTAACCTGAGTTTAGTCTACCTTTCAATTGTATATGACATTTAGCTCTTATTCCTATGGAATTAAATACACTGTATTTCCTTAAGGACTTCAGGATCGGCAGAAATGGATTAAACTCAGCACAATGACTTCACTGGCTCTTTAAATTAGTTCAAATATTTTACCACCTACAGTCTTATATATGTTTGATCCCTTTAAGTAATTCAGAAAACATGTTCAAAAAGAGACTTTGCCCCCCTCCTCCCCTTTTTAAATTCTATTCTCGGTTTAGATATTTTCAGCTGTTATTTTTCTGGTTCTGGTTTTACTGTCTACCACTTTTCCGTGATGGCCAGTTATTGCTTGGCCATGCAAAGTGAAAACAGGAGATGATGCATGATGAAAAATGCTTGAATGCACACATTTCACATAACTCAAAAAGACAATGTTTGATCAATGGGTTATAATTACCATGCTGTTTCTGATTAAAGCCCCATACAGTTTTGAATCTTGTAACATCTCAAAGAGTTTTTTGCCTTTGGAGATCAATATGGTCATTTAAAAACTGAGCTCTATGACTAAACCAACCAGGACCGCATCTTCATTATTATAACTGAAACAACTTAAAGTAGGGACGGTTTCAAATGACATGATCTTGCCTCAAGAAACATGGTTACACAACTCATAGTTTGGCAAAGTAAGAAATGTATGATTTCTTCCATGCATACTTTCCCACAACACAATAGTTTGCCTAAACTGAAAAGTCATAAATCAGACTATCATTGTTTCACTGTGGGGTCAGAAACCAAACCTCGCAGATTGTTGCCACCTGAAGAGAGAATTCTCCACTTTTAAATTTCCAACCCTTACTCTGACAGCGATACCTGCTGCTCGCTCCGTGAGAAGATAGTGATAGTAAAGATGAACATGATGATAGTGAGAGTGATGGGGGCGCTGGGGGTGGTGGTGATGAGCATCATGATGATGATGATGATGATGATGATGGTGGTTTGCTATTCCTGCCAATGACCGCATTGAGTCTTTCACAGGTAAAGAGATACGCTGGGTGTATCAGGTTGACAGTGGGGGTCCGGACCAGCAGCAGCAGCAGCAGCAGCAGCAGCAGCAGGATGGGTGAAATCACATTAAGTGGAATGAATGTGATTGGGCCCCAGGCTTGTCGGCAACACACAGGCCTCCTACTGTTCCTGGATTACATCGTGAAGGGCATCGAAGAGGGATCCAAAAATTGCACGCAATTTACCGTAGGGTGTCTGGAGGTAAGTGTGTGTATATAGACTTAAGCATTTGAATTTAAAACAAGTGTGTCTGGTGTAAAGTTTGAAACAATGAAACAGACCTACGCGAGGCCTCTTGAAGATGAAACAGGGCAGAAAAACATCACTTTTAAACTGCAGAAGTGCCTGGTTTTTTTTTTGCCACCAGCAAAGAACACCCCTCTACTCACACCGTCAAACAATCCTCTCAAGTGTCACCCCGTCTTGAAGCGACACATGCACTCCGGTGGATGTCTCCATCCCTCTGTGTCACTTTGCCTCTGACAGCTTCTCTTTAGACTCTTATTTCTGGATGGAACCACTTTTCTGATCCATCAATCGCGGCGAAGACAAGAGGAGAGGACAGCAGAGGTGAAAAGGGAAAGCGGAGAGGATGGCTGTAGTGGATGGAGATGAGGATAGACTTGTTAGACATATAGAGTGTCTCTCTCTGATTAAAATAGCACGTTTTGGAACGACATGCCACGTCGGTTGCAAGGCTGCGTTCGCCATGTGAAGGCCTCTGGTCGATAGCACTCCACCGCAGCGAAATATGAAAAGTATTGATCTGCTTTTTTTTTTTTTTTTTTACCTCGGACAGCTTTGAGCGCGACGCCTGTGATGTTTCAGTAGCGAACCTTCAAAGTCAATACACTTTCCTCTACATCACTCTGACTTGTAAAGAGAAGGAAGAGAGAGAAAAAAAGGGATTCCTGTCATACCAGACAGAGAGCTGCGTTTTACTGTGAGCCTCTGTGTCGGAGAGGTCAGGGTAGCTGTGGGTATTACCTCATGGATCTGATGTAGTGGAAGCAGAGGGATAAGGGTGATGAGGGTGTGGGTCAGATGGAGAGAGGTTAGAGCCAAAGAGATGGAGTTTGTGGCAGGGAGGGACAAAAGGGCTGGAGCAATAAAGATGAGGGGTGGCTGAGGCCGCGACCTCATGTCCGTCACACATGTACACATGAGGGTCACTTCTCATGTTTGCACATTAACCAGACAAGAAAAAGTTTTTTTTCCCCCTCCCTGGCTTTGAAAAACCGAGAGCTTTGAGACTTCAGACTGTGAAAAAAAAAATCAATGGAATCAAGAAGACCTGACAGACGAGTTTAAGGGCACAGATCTCATGTAAAAGAATCCTCCTCCACAAAGAGACCTACAGAGAGAGACACACTTGGGACAATCCACACGGGCAAAGCTTGCTGATCCCGGATCAGAGTAAGGGGAGGTCTGCAGGGAGTAACACAACGAGACAGACAACCGGAATAGCAGATCATGGAGCAGCAGCCTGAGATCACAGAGAGCTGCTTCACTCAGGGAAAAAAAAAAAACACAGACAGACACAGACGGAAATCGAAGTCAAGATACGTTTCCTTTAGGAGCCTTTTCTGGAAATGACATTGTTCTCATGCAGTGAGACAGAGCTCTCCATAGCTGAAGGCTATGTGGGGACACTTGTATGATGCTGCACACACACACACACGCACACACGCACACACGCACACACACACACACACACACACACACACACACACACAAAGTCTCTCAGCCTGATTATCTCTCCTGGTCAGCACAATCAGGTCCACAAGAGTCTGGGACAACACAAAGAGACTGTGTAATTAGAATCGAGTGAGTAAACGCACAGGGGTGGCTGAGAATTGGACACATCTGCTGTGATCAGAGGCAAGGTGTGGCACTGCGGACCTCTAAGTAGCTGGATTAACCACTGGCCACGGGGCTATTGATGTTATTGAACTGACAGGCTGATGAATGGAGTCCTTCCACAAGGTGTACCAGTCTGCTGCTGTGGCTGGTTAGTGTGTTCACAGGCCAGGTGCTGTTTTCCAAAATGCAGAACTGCCGGCAATTAATCTTGAAAGCAAACGAGTTTTTGTTAGGGAACCTTTGATTATTTGGGGGAGAGTGAAAATTTGCATGATTAACAGGAAAGGTGCCCTGAGGCCAGAAAGCTCAGCTACCCCCCATTTAACAGTAATTAATCCATGTTACAAAGGTTAACCTGCAGTCTGCTGCCACATGTGCTTAACTATATAGACTTGTTTTTTTTTTGTTTTTAGAGATCATTGTTCATTTTGGATATCATAATAACAGTTAATTTATGATGTGTAGTTTCACCTCCTTTAAAGAGTTAGATGGTCTTTATTGATCCCAAACTGGAAAATTGGGGGGAAAAAATGAGGAAATTGTGGAAAGGCTTGACATAATGACAGAAAATACATTCTGTCTTTATTTAAATATCACACTGTGCAGCTCTAACTTTCAGTCTTAAATGAGAATCAATACATTCCAATAACCTTCCTTGATCAAAGAAGCAGGGTTTCAGTATGCTATTTAGTCACTATGAAGAACTTACGGAGATTTAAAAAATGCCCAAAAGGGATCATGTCACTATAGAGTCAATTAAAAGTGTACAACCAGGCCAAGAGTTCCTTCAAAGTTGCGCTTTTTTTTAGCATAGTGTTAACATAAGTCAGTCAACAGTGTTTTACTGTTGAACTTATACATTTGAATATGTTAAGTATTTTCATTTTGGTTGCTAAAGGACAATCTGCTGCTCTACACATGCATGTGTTTATGACAAGAAAGTGCTTCACAGGAACAATAATGATTAAATGACGAGATAAAAAAAGAGAGATAAAGACCAAAGCTGCAAACAGCAACGGCTAAAACAAAAGCAACAATGACAAACGGAGACAAGACAGGTGAAAGCAGACTGACAAACAAATGCATGGAAAATAATAATCTATGAGAGTTTTAATACCTTAAATGAGTGAGTGATCAGCTGTGTGTACCTGTGTATGAGTGAAATAACTATGAAAGAGAGAGAGAGAGAGAGAGAGAGAGAGAGAGAGAGAGAGAGAGAGAGAGAGAGAGAGAGAGAGGAGGATGGCTTGAATAACAATGGAGTGTCTGTTGCGTACTGTCAGAAAAGACAGGTTAAATAAAATATAATATAAAGTCTTGTTGACTTGTCATTTCTTTGTTCAGTCTTCATTCTTGTTCTTTGAATTACATTTTAAAGCTTTCTCCTTCATCAGTACAGTCTGTCTTTCTTTTGTCGGTGCCTTTTTGTAACTTGGATTTCAAAAAAATGTCTCTACATAAAAAAATATTAAAGTTATGATTATTAAAATCCCACAAACAGACAAACGTGGACTCTTAAGCTCTTTAACTTTTACACAGACAACAGGTTAAATTTGATATCGTCTAGTATCACAACATGGTCACAGAGATTCCTGAGAGTGTTTTGTAACTATTCCAATGATAAGGTCAGGAGGATGTTACTCTAAATTCCTCCTCTCTGTCTGACAGGATGAAGGCGTGATTGAGTCAGCGCCGCTAAACCTTCGCTAAACGGCAAATCACTTCCCATTCAGACAAGCCGACGTCCTGACCACAGCTGACCTGAGTCCTCCTGCTTACACAAAACAAATCTTTATCATCTGCATGACACAGAACTAACACACCACACCTGCCTCCTCTTTGATAAACAGGCTGAGAAATGAAAGCCCAGCTCTGAAAACACAGACACAGAAGGACAGAGCCAGAGGGATGATGAATAGGGAAAAAATCCAGAGTGGAGAACAACAGCCGGACGAGTTCATACTCTTTTATGGAAATAATCTTTTACTGTCTATCAAGGCAAGACAGAACAAACACTCGAGAGAAACATAAAACTGGCGCCCAAACAGAGACATCAGCACAATCAGATCCTGGCAATATTTCATACACT